AACATTAATTAACATATTAAATATATGTTTAAAATATAAAGGTCAATATTTGATTTTCAAATATAGATTAAATTTTAAATTTTTTCTATTTTAGCATTGGAGCTACGTAAATTATTAAGTTTGTTTGTTACAAGACATGTTTCGTTAAGAACCTAAAATTGATTAGGAATCCAGAAATTGTCCACATTGCGACATGTAGCATATTAATCAGGAGTATAGACATGCTATTTATTATGAATGTTGTAACATATTCATCATTAATGTATGATTCATGATGAATGAATGTCTAAATTTATCATGAATGTATGATTCATAATGAATAACATTTGTATATTTCATCATATTCATGATAACTATTCATCATAAAAATAGACACCTAACATATTTTGGACAGTTTTTAAATTTCTAATTAATTTTGGGTTCCTAATAAAAGTCCCGGAGGTATGTTTTAATACAACCTTAACCAATATGTAAAGGTTTTCTAACCATTTTACTGTTTTTAGCAGTATTTGATAACTCCACCTCTCATATACACTGCTACAAGGTCAATCTTCAATTAATTATTTATCAATAATGTTAAACTTTCCTTAACAAATATTTAATAAAATCAATATCATTTGCATTATAGCCAAGTGCTTACTAAAAGGAAATTTAGGGGTGTTTGGAATTGCTTCTAAAAACAACTTATTGACTTATTTTTGTATGACACCGATAATAAGTATTTTTGAGTTTTTAGATAAAAATATTACATAAAACATAAACATAAACATAATTTTATACTACAATTAAAAAAATACAATATTACATAAATATTCATTTGAATAAAAAGTAACAATAAATAATAATAGAACTAGAGACCAGTTAAAAAATTTTGAGGGTATTGTAGAATGCTAGAAAATTATTGGTATTAGATATTGCCAGGGATAAATTCATAAATTGAATTTTAATTTATATATTTTGAAAGTATTCAAAAAATAATCTAAACATAATAATATAAAGAGATAGTTATATAATTTGTTTATTTTGTGGATAATTAAATAAATATATTTGCTTACTTAAAATAAAACTTATAAAAAGAAAATACAAAAACTTGTACAAAAAGTTATAACAAACAAAAAATGAAAGAAAATAAATAAATTTATTATAATTATTAATTTATATTTTTTGTATCAATTCTAAGTTATATAATTTATAATGAGATTTTTTTTAACAAAATAAAAATGACAAAAAAAAAATTTAGATAATTACTTGGGTTCTTGTTCAAGCACCTGGATTCTTATAAGAACATGTGAATAGACAAGAATCTATGTCCTATAGTTAAGGTTCTTGTAAAACCCCCAACAAAAACCTCCATTATAGATTCGACATTCTTCATGAAGATAGTTGCTCTACTTATAACTAGTTTTCTTTCTTCTTATCTTTTAACTTGCATTCTTGCACAAGTCAATTGTCTTTGTGGAGATGACCTATTTATCCTTTGAAGTAAACGACATACATCCTACGTTTCTGACCCTACTTTCGAATGAAGTATACTAGATTTTTGGCACGGTTGCTTGGAATCTAGTTCTCAAAGAGGAAGCCACCTACAAAAGATGAAAACTACAACAACAAAAAATGGACTATATGAAAATGAGACAAACATGTAATTATCATCAATGTCATCACCAAAGTCATCAAACCATTATTACATATAATATTAAAGAAAAAGCAATATAATGCACATTATTTCTTTAAAAAAACAAATAATAAGTTTGACTATGACATGAATGATTGCATTTAATAAAAGCAGCAGTTGGATTTTCTTATTTGTCCTTCAAAGTCAAAAGGAGTTGATTAAGAATCAACTTTGGAGTGTTGTTCAGGTTCAGGATCATGCCTCCCTAAATTCTTTATTCAATTTTGATTTAAAAATAATATGCAAAAAGTTAAATCTTTATCCAATTTCTTAAAAGCATAGGCAAAATAAGAACACCAAAATTGACTGCTTCAGGTTGTCTTTTTAGAACAATCTAGAAATACTTTATTTCCTGCTTCTTTTCTAACAAAAAGGGGTAGAAAGTGGCAGCAACTTGGTGCTTTTCTCAAATTCAAGCAATGGAGACAGTTAAGCATGGTAAAGTTCAGAGTTATAAAATACTAACTCAATAAATGCCTATTGTGTGTCATTTACCTTGCGAGTGAGCAAGACTTTTCTAGTAAAAGACATAGTAAGGACCAAAAATCTTATGCAGTAAGTGAAGGAGAAGACTCTTACCCAATAAGTGCTTACTGAGTAAAAGACGCTTACCAACAATCCATTTTGATGGCCGCGAATGTTACCTGATAAGGTAAATAAGGGCTTTGACTCATGTTGGTAAGCGTTTGGTAAACGGCACCTAAAAATCTCTAATTGTTGAATACCACATTTGCTATTTTTTTTATTCTTGCAAATTATAATCGTGCATGTGATTATGCAATCCCCCAAGCTCAAAGCAGTAGGCTGACCTAATAACTTTCGAATTCAACTTAAAATCATGCTGAAAGCTATTTGATAACCTATAATTTTGAACTTAAAAGAAATTAAAAAAAAAATCTACTTACCTATCCATGTGGGACAGGTTGTTACAGATTATCCATCCTAATAACAAGTGCAAGATGCAAAAAACATGCCTTTTCTTCAAACAAATGTCTATATTCCTCATGGTTGTTGAACCAGCTGTCTGTGAGGTTTTGGAGCTGCAACAAAGAAACTATGCTTGCTTTAGAAAGGAATAACTTTGTTTGCCAATTTATCCTATGCAACAAATGAAAATGCTGCCACAAAACCAGATTGATGATGTCGCAAAACTGTTATAGGATCAAATGTGAATTCTATCTGATTAAAAGGGTAAGGACATGTAGAACGATCGGGAGGAGGGGATGTCTTCTTTTCCTACTTTTCATTTCTACTATTATAACTACATATGTTACATTTTACTATAAATTGGTCTTGGTTTTTCTTCTTCCACTAGTAGTTGTCAGTACTGCATTTTGTGTTTCCAACCTATTTTTCTCACATTTTCCAATGTTGTATTTTATGTTTACTGCACCTGTTGCTTGTTTGTACACACTCTCACATGTAGTTTGTCTCTATTGCCTTTTCTGCTTACTGCCTTCTCTGCTGTCTTCAGGAAAACAGCCTTTCCCTTGGGATATGAAAAAAGTCTGCATACATCTTACCCCAACCCTATCTGTGGGTGGGATTTACTGGGCATGTTTGGTTTGATTTGGTTTACTTGTGAATCCTATGGTAAGTACAACTATGAGGAGTGGAATCTTTTTATAAGTGAAACTCAGACGTTTTCTAATAAAGTTAATTTGGTTAGGTTTCATAGTCAACAAAACAGATGCATCATGCTGACCCTCAATTGTTTTGCAAATGTTATATTTCTTTGATATGGAAATGCTCATGAGAATTGAGTTGATAATAGTAATACTAGTTTTTATTCTGATATTTATAGCAGTTCCTAAATCAAACAAAAACAGGCATCATAATAGCATAAATTTCTGCAGGGGTTCCGTCCCCTTTTTCCAGAAAATAAATATTTGCAGGGTGGAAAGATGTTGATATCTTGATAAAGCACAGAAGAATGACTATTACTCATGATCACGCAAAATTATATAACTGTTTTCTACTTTCTTTTATTCTCGTCTATAGTTATTTTTTAATTTGTATCGATGTGGGCTGGATTCATGCTTCCTAACGAACAACAGGGTCAAGAGTCTTTAGGAATACATACCATTAGGGTTTCCAAGCTCATAGAAGTTTCTAAAGAGAGACACTGCTTCTTCCGCCATTATCCCACCGGTGCATTTGTAACTCTTCCTCTCAACTTGTCCACCACTATCATGACACAAATATCAAAACTGGAGTTGGTAAAAACACAAAAAATAGACTGAAAGAAGATCTCAAGCCATGAAGACCTGGTTTCCAATATCATGAATGAACATGCATGATCATGTATATTCATCAATTAGTTGGTTCTCATGGTTCACAAAATATTTTACAGTTCCTAAATGAACTTTCCCATACTTCAAACATTGTGTGATTGAAAGCTAAAGATGGTGCAAGGAATACTGGTCTTGGGGATTTACCTTGTTGATATCTCAGATGTACTTGTATGCAAGGATAATATTGATCCACATCCTCCAAATTTTTCGTTGGCACAGCCATAGTAGACCTCTTTTATACCTAAATTGGGAGTGTGGTGAAGAGGTCACCATGATCATGGTAATCAACATATGATATTATAAATTTTCAATGAGGCATGTTAGTTTTGATTAGTACCTAGAAATGACAAGGCAGCCGCACACATTATACATGGTTCACATGTAACATAAAGATAGCATTTTGAGAACAGCTCAGCAACTTCAGCCTTTGTAAGTTCCTTTTCTTTCCACTGCTCAAGTAGAACATCAATAGCGTCCATTTCTGCATGTCTTGTGGCCTGCAGTTTTAGAGGCCAACTTGGTAGTATTAAGAAAGTGGTAGGATAAACAGAGTATGAATAGAATAGGAAGTGGAAAAATGAAGATTATTACAGCTGTATACATTTCTTGTTTCATTAGTCCGATTTCTTCCGCATGATATGACCTTCCCATCCATAACAATCACACAGCTGTTCCAGAAAAATATTTCATCAAAATATGAGTTAAAAGATGGTGCTCTGAAAAGGACTCGCATTGGAAAAGGAAAAGTATGATTGTCTTCACCATACTCGAACTTGAGATTGATTAAAAAATCTTGAATTACAAAAAAAAGCATCAGAAAATCATAATATTGTCTGAACAAGTTCAGACTATTTAGTCTTAAGACAAGAGGGAATATAGTTTTAAGACTTACAAGGGAATTGCATCAACACTGTTAAAAGCATGATGACCTCTAACAAATAGGAGATGGCCATGCCAACAAGATGATAACGAAAATAGACTTTCTAGAAAATAGTGTGATGAGAAGGATGTTATGCAAGCAGGGCAAAAGGTTCAGTTCAAGGAATAAGAGTAAGATATTTCTAAAGGAATAAGAGCGCTCTCTATCGAAGTACTCAAGGATTTGATAACCAGAGATGATGACAAGAAACGTACCCCACAGGCACTTCAAGGCTGTCAAATGCAATCTTAGCCTGAAAAAAAAATCAGCTAGTTGTTCATTGATTTATTGAAGCATTTCCATACAGAGCAGAAAATAATTCAGTCTTAAAACTATATATTTCCTCGTCCATACAAACTGCAACATTTGGCTACATATATAGTTTTTAGTGCAAGTGTGATTACTGATCAAATGTCTAAATCACCTTTCAATAATGATATCATACAAAACTCTTGTGGCCCAATGTCTAAATCAACAAATTTTTTTCATGATGACATATTTGGTGAAATGGTCAATTTAGCTCAAACATAATATTGGGCACACGAAATAGAAACTTTTGCAATGTCTACAGGACAGGGACTACAACAAACACTAGAAGGTTGAGCCATGAACAGGAAATTTACATGTCATTATGTCAACATGCCAAATAGCAGGATCTTAAGAAGCTTAATGGTAACATTAAACTTCAATGGAAAATGTATACCTGTTTTAATGCCATCTTCATAAATGCAACAATTTCAGCCGCTTCCCCTTCCCCGCTTGAAGCCATCTTGAAAGTGATTGAAAACAAAACAAGCATGGAAGAAAGAAGGGAATAGAAAACAACTTAGAGCAATTGCGAACCGCATGCATTCCAAATATTTATTAGGCAAATCCATATAAATTCATATTATTGGTTCCTAGGTACCCAAGCATTTGAAATGAAGTTTCATCATTCGTTGGACACCTCATACTTCAAGCTTATGGTGTTTGCATGATGTTGTCGACGTCATCTTCTCTTTAAGATACCAGTAGAAAAATGAATATGAATGCAAAGCTGTACATCTGATAATCTCATGAAATATGAGTGTATGATTTTATTGTTTTGCATTGATTTCTATACAATGACCATGCTGAGGCTTATTGCAAAATATTTTTACAAGATTGTAACACCGAATCGAATTATGCGTAGCGTAGTCATAAAACAAATTAAAAAAAAAGCATTTATATCAAAATGACGCACATATAAAACACCCATTTTATAACTCATGTGTAACAAACTTATACATGGTAAGAGAACCATTATGTAAAACCCATGATCCAAAACAATAACTTGATAGCATGCCACAAAATAATCAGACACCACAGTAATTATCCAAGTAATCTCCAGAACAAGAAAAAATTCTTAATTCATAAGACAAGTTTGTATGTCCTCCGCTTGTTGAGAACGTGAAGAATGGATATTATCCAATTATCGAAAATGAACTAACTTTTTCCTTCATATGTCATGCAGTCTTTTAATATTTGATTTCAAAGTATAGTTAGACATATAATCAAACATCTGGAGTGTATAACTATCAATGGCTACAAAGACGAGTTTCAGAACATTCAAAACACACCTCACTATGCTGCAGTGACCTAATGGTAAAGTTATAATTCACAGGTTTCCCACGAGAGAAGCAAGCAAATAGAGGGATTTTGTTTCCTATTGGATTACTGAATGGCTAGGCAGTGGAGTCACACCAGCAGAAGAATTTTACATGTCTTTCTGTTAATTGAATAAAAAATGCACATCAATATGATTATATTAAATGCATTATCTATACCATCTTATAAAGCATTTGGGTGAAACTCTCATAAGATTCAACAGTACAACACCAAGTGGAGCAACATTTGATGAAAAGTATGAAAGTTTGTCCCACATAGGTGGAGCAACAAAAATGGAGTAGACTCCATGCATATAAGTGGAGTAGACTACCTGCGTATAAAAGGAGTCCAAGACTTTGGTTCAGGTCAAACTCTTAAATTTCAAGAATACGACATCTATCAAACATTGAGTACAAATCCCCAATGCGAATTATGAATGGAAAGTGCATGGGGTTTAGAAATTCCATCTCACCATCAATCCCTTAAAAGTAATCAAAACAATTTAGCATATTGTGAACACTTGCCACTTGCCACCAGGTTGCGTGACAAGAAGGTCCAACTAAAACTAAAGGTAAAATTTTATGTAGGTGAACGTCAGACCAGGTTTGGCATGCTACCAAACGAGGTCTTTCGAGTGGTGTTGTGAGTTGTGCACATCAGAGATAAGCTGACAGGGGGAAATTTGTGGTGGTTTGGTCACATTCGTAAGAAAAGATGGCAGCCAGTCAGAAGCATATGATATATGGCAGTCGAGGGGGCGAGGAGGAAGCGTAGATCAAGGAGGACTGGGATGGGAAACTGAGGTTGAACATAGTGGCATTAGATATTTCTAAGGACATGAACTCTAATAGATTAGGGTAGCAAACTAGGGTGGGATTCTGTAGCTAGCCTAAATGCAAGCTGCAAAGGTAGGGGGTAGGGTTGGTGAGTTGGCAACTAGATTACCAAAGTCCTACGTTAGACTAGAGATGTGTGTTTTTTCTTACATTGGCTTGTTTTCTTCTTGTACCTAATTTTGTTTGTATGCAGTTGCTAACTCCTAACTCATTTTTCTTGTCTAAAGTTCTTTTCCGAATCTTTCCTTTTTCTATTTCCTCACTTTTTTGGGGGTGAACTTTCTCTTTTTCGCACAATTTTAACAAGTTAGGGGTCTTCACAGAAACAACCGCTCTACTCCTTGGGCTAGTTTGGCCTGGTTTGCTTTTAGCCATTTATGTACAGGTGTATATTATTACAGATTCTGTAATTTTGAACATTTTCTACCACTGCCTTTAAGTTCTATTTTCAGGCTGCTGCGGACAGCAGTGACACTTGATTGTACATTTGTTGAAATTATCATAAATCCTCTGTTTGCATTCCTACTGATCTTAAGGTATTCTTGTTTGAAGTGGTTATATATATTTTCTAGCCTTGGAACTCAGGACAGAATAAGCTTACACAAATTATAATTGTTGTTCACATGATTCTGTAAACTGAGTTTGGCTTCTAGGAGATGCAAATGTTTTGCAAACACCATGTTTCGTTAGTTTCACACATTCTAGAAATTATAAATGCTAAAACAGACATAAAAAACGTTGCCAAACACGTCGTACAGCTATTTGTAATTTACGACCAGCTGTGAGCATGCCCATCTGAAATATTGATATGAAAAATCTAAGTTTAGGTTGACATGTTTTTCATTCATAATTACCCAATCTTAAGTGCTTGCCGATACTTTACACGGCGAAAACCTAAAAAGGGACTTTTTAGTGTTTTATATATCTTTTTCGTAATATGTTATACAAAAAGAGCCACCCAAAATGTTATAAGATTGGGCCAGGTTGTGTTAAGTCTAGAATGGCATACAAGTATACAACTTAAAATGAGGGGATGAAGCATGCTAAACTCTAACTTACATATAACCTTAGCGGTTTCTATGCAAGACAAGAGGATAACCTTGCACAATATATTCCTTGTGTGTCTTTCATGAGGCTAATGGCGTGTTTAATCAAGAGATGGATCAAGAACTTGCAACATTTAGACTATCTCTACAGTCAAACTGTGGTGATGAAGTTTGAGGAACTAAAGTTGATAGTAAAACATGATTATTAAAGCTTAGAATGGCTTGGAAGGTTGCTTAACATATCAATCGAAATGTTTCAACTGCATTTTCTATACAAAAACATGTTTTACATAGTGATTCAAATGATGAAACAAAGGGGTTGACTTTTTGTAAAAGTCAAACTGTTTTGCATAAAAAAAACCCAAATTAGAGCATTTCATGTAAATTTAAGGCATGAAAAAACTGAAAGGTGTTTTATTAACGCTACATGAAAGTGCTGTCATCATCAAAACCAACATTTCACATATGTTTTCAAAGAAACAGCATATTCTTGTTTGGTTTAAACTAAAAATGGAGTTTTAACGTGTTGTTTGAAATATATGAACAAGTTTGATGTATGAACTTTCTAAACATGTTTATAAAAGTTCAACGAACATGTTTTAAGGCTTTGATTTCATAATTAGTTGAAATTTGAGAAATTGGGTATTTGGCAGTAAAATTGAGTGTAATTCAACTTCTGTTAAAACTAGTTTTGTGGAATTCAAGGAGATTATCCAACTTTGCTCATTTAAACATGATATGAGGGTGAAATAAGTGTCGATTCAATTAAAAAGTCAAAGTGGTTGCCACAAAAGTCGTAAATGATTAATCATTATTCAATCACAAATTCACACACATACATAAAAGTTCTCATTTGTTAGCATACACTTTTTAACGAACACAGACAAAGAGAAGAAGAGAGATATAAATTTAGATTTTTACTGTTATTGTGAATTCTTGTGATACAAACAGGCAACCAGCCTATTCAACATTATTGTGAATTCCTGGTAAATATTAAACATGAATCTTTTCCAAACTCTTTTCTATACTTGTCTTTAACTTTTATTGAGAATGTTCATCAGTAAGTCTTTTGATAGAAAAGTCCAACTACTTTTGTCTTAATTTTTTAGAAAGATGCTGAAAGTTTTACCATGTGAATGATGGATTATAATCCCTTCTAATCTATGACTTTCTCTTTACATTGTTGTAAGTATGTGGTTTCATTTAAGCATTTTATCAAGCACATAACATGCTATGATGGATGATGTTGTGATGAATGAAAACAAAATGGGGTTGATCACTTTGTAATCCATGTTTTAGTCGTCACTAATTCAAATCAGAAAATAGACCCAAATTGTTCACGGTCACCTACTTAAAATTCGATTAGAACAGCCTATGACAAGAGTTGTCGAGAAAATACAGCTGAATTGTTCACAAATTTATGACAAAGCAGAATTTTTTATCAAAAAAAAGGGTTGTTTCAAAGCCGTTGCATATCACTGAGTTTAAACTATACAAGCCTATGTAGCAAATGCCTGTCCATATATACATATAGTGTAACTAAACCATGAGTGTCTCGCAACTACCACAAGTATCGGAACCAAGACCACGTCCCATGTCGGTGAATATAAATCCAAAACCCAAGAATCGAAAACCCCGGAATCAAATTTGAAAGAATTAACGTTACCTCTGAAGAACACGACGGAAAGGCGACTGAAAAGAGCCGACGACGAGAAGGAGGCGACGAGGCGAAGCCTGCGACGGAAAGGGAACGCACGGAGAGGAGACGGCTTGATTTTTTTTCTAACTGTAGTAATATTTTACACTGCAACCCTCAATTAACTCGGTCCATTTGATGAATGATGAATAGATAAGTTATCATTTAATCGGTTGTAATTAAGGGGTGTTTGTGACGGTTTATAAAAATAATTTATTGACTTATTTTGGTGTGACACATGTAATGTATATTTTCAAGTGTTTGGATAAACAACTTATACTGGTGTCAAACCGGTAATAAGGAGTTTTTAAAAAGTTAAACCCTTCTGACTTATAATAAGTACTGTTGTAAAAAGCATAAGTTATTTCAAATAAGCAATCCCAATAGTTTTAATTAAAAATGCAAACAATAAATTTGACTCAAGATGCTTTTTAACTAAAAGCTAAACACAAGATGTGTTTTTTAGGTGTTCAAGTTCTTGACATACTACGTATGCAGATAAAATTTGGAAATATTTAATCAATTGAAATAATCAAAAATCATTGTGTTTCATCGTGTCCTATCGTATTCTCGTCATATACACTCTCGATGATCATAACTTTTCATTAATAACAAGATCAAGTTGATTTTTTATAAGTTGCTTATTTTTTCAAGATCTACATGCTAGTAAAATTTAGGGATAATCTATCACTAGAAACCATCATAAACCATCATTTCATCATGTCCTACCGTATTCTTATCATGTACACTTTTTGTAACACCTTAGAATCACAATTGCATATAAACATATATATATTTCATATATCAAGAAATACATTCGGTCCCAAATATAAGAAGAGCTACATTACAAAAGTAGCTACCAAATTTTTCTCAACAAATCACTATACAAAACTTGTATGCATAACAAATATTCAAAAATAACAGATAAACATGTTATCCTTCACATCTCATGTAAGCATATAAGACTTTGCACAGTTTCCATTTCCCTCTATCCTCTGTATGGGTCCGATCTATAATGCAAATTTTTTAAACACAAAATGAAGGTTAGACTGTTATAATCGGGTATTTGTTTATTAAAGCTCGGGGTTATTTTTGAAAGGTGGTGGTAATTTAAAGGGTTAAATGTGCTAAAATTATTTTAAAAAGCTCACGGCCTTATATGTTTATTATGATTATTATGGGATAATGGTTTTATCTCATAGGGGATTGTTTTAAAAAGGAAAGAAGAAAAAAAATGTTTTCTAAGTATTTTTCCCAAGCTCGAGTGAAACACAAAATTGAAAAAGGAAGATAAATTCTGTGAATCTTGCTTGGATGATTGTTGTTGTTTATCAGCATACCTTCGTCTCTTGTGATTAAGGTGAGATTAAATTTTTATGAACTTTTTTCATTTGGAAACTGAGTATAGAACTGTATGATTCTTTATATGAGATTATGTTATAAAACAGTTTTGATGTCATAATTGGCATAAATTGTTGGTTTTTTTTATGGTTATATCATGTGTGGAAATAAATGTGACATATCAAGGAGAGGTGTATACCGGGATAAGGGTGGCATGTCAAGGAGATGTGTATACCAGGATAAGGGTGACATAATCATCGAGTTATAAAAATCTGGGTTTTTGAATCAGTTATTCATAATTGTCGCATCCTTATGATGACTTGAGGTTGTCTCATCTGGGTGATGCGATGAAGTGTGATTATCGCATCAGTGTGATGCGAGGAGTGAGTTTTGTCGCATCCTTGTGCGACAAGTTGGTTTATCGCACCCGTTGAATGAGACAAGTTGGGTTTATCGCACAGTGTGATGCGAGGAGCTGAGGTTCTCACACTAGTGTGTGTGTTGTGAGGACATGGGTTTGTTTCATCCATATGCAGGGCCGACCCTGGCCACGTGCAGCCCGTGCGGTCGCACAGGGCATCAAAGCTTAAAGGGGCATCAAGTTGTCACCTATTACTAGTTTTGGGTTTAATAATTTAGGAATTGAACAACTGAGTTTTAACTATAAAAGCATGTCCAATGCTTAGTAGTGTTGAATACTGAATGCAAATCGTGAACCAGTTAACGCTAACATTCCAACAACTCAATCTAATTTCAATTGTTCTTCAAAGTTCGACTATTTCGATTTTCAAGGCATGGTATTCTCTTTTCAGCCGATTAACGGTCATGAAATTAGATTCAAGAAATCAAAGATGGAAATCTCGAATGACTGATTTCTACTGTTGATTGAACTTACCGAGTTGATGTGCGAGTCATATTATGATTTATGAATCTTTAGATCTTTTTGCAAAAAAATATCTAAATTTCTAACTGATTATTATAAAGATGGGTCATATGGTCGTGTGGGTTACCTACCTACTAAGCTAAGGCTAAGGGGCTTTTGTCATTTTGATAATGAGTCTTCCTCTTGCATATTGAAATATGGGAATTGAAATTTTCAATGCACATGAGCACATCACTGTATCAACATAGCTGGAGCACACTGCACAACATTAACAACATATTGTGATACTGTCTTAATTATTGGGCATTTGTTCTTTACAACACACAGTAAACATAGATTATGAATTTTACAATTTATTATTGTTCTTTTGACTTTTGTTTACTTTGAGGTTTGACATTACCACATTAGATTTAGGGGGCGTTTGATTGGTTTTTTATTAAGTTCTATATGGATAAAGTTGTCTATATGAATTAATCTGTTTGTATAAGTTGGAAAAGTTTTTGTTTGAGAGAGTTTTTCCGCAAATGTAAGGAGCGTTTTTTTTAGTTGGAAGGGACATGTTTGAAAAAAAAAAACTTGGCTTTCTATATAAAGCTCTCCCTAAAAGTTAACTGGATAAGTTATTTTCTATATCATTAAGCCACTACGAAACAATCATGCGTAGTTGAGCAAATAAGTTGTTAGTTTCATTAAGCTTATTAAGTTGTTAATAGATAGACCCTTAGCCTTAATCATTACACCTATAACTTTTGAGTTTTATTTTTTGTTTACTATGACAGTAATTTGGATGTAATTTACTATTTTAGTTAAAAATTAATGATAATTTTCCTTGTCTGTTGAGTCCATATATTGAAATAAAGTTTCTATTTTGCTAATTTGAATTTGGAAAAAAGAWAATTGGAAAAGAAGGAAGCACGATCTTAATCCAAGATTTATTCTTTTATTATTCTATATTTTGTATTTAGGGTTTTGGTTTTTATAATTAATAAAAATCAACATGAGAATGAGACACTTAGTTTGAATATATTCTAAACTCTTTAAAAAATCACATGTTTCTTTGTTTCATTGGCTTAAAAAAAAATAGACTTGGGGGCATCTTTTATTATTTTCGCACAGGGCATCAAAAATCTTAGGACCGGCCCTGTCCATATGATGCGAGAAATTTGTACAAACTTTTATACGATGCGACAAGTTTTTACCCATAATGTGTTTATCAAGTTATTTGGGTATTTGGATGCAATAAATGAGGTTTATTATATCAAAATGATAGACATTTGTTATTATAACAAATATGGTTTCATAAATATGATTTGGTGATTTTTCACCCTGTAATTGCATTAAAAGGATTTCTCACTAAATCTCAAGTTCTAACTCTCATTTTATGTTTTAAAAATGTGCATTACAAGTTAGACAACCAGAGGGGAAGGGGAAATTGTGAAGTGTTATATTATGCTTGCATGTAATTTTGGGGCTAGCATAATATTTTTTTGCATCTGGATACTTGTTATGTATTCATGTGTAATACAGAGATTTTATGGAAAAAGTTGTTAGCTACTTTGTAATGTAGCATTTGTAGATATTGGGACCGAGTGTGTAAAATTATAATTCTTGATATATGGAAATAGATGTTTATATTCAAATGTGATATTAGGGTGTTACATATACCTTGAGGTTTAGTGAGAAATCCATTTGATGCAATTACAGGGTGAAAATCACCAAATCATGTTTATAAACCTATATTTGTAATAATAACAAACATACATCATTTTGATATAATAAATCTCATTTACTTCATTCAAATACCCAATATCTTATGGGTAAAACTTGTCGCATCATATAAAAATTTATACAATTTGTCACACCAGAGCCCTGACCAACCAGAGCCCTTCTGGTCTTACCAACCAGAGGCAAGGCCATGCGATAACAGTAACTCCTCGCACCATGCTAGTGCGATAAACCCAATTCATTACATCTCATTGATGTGATAAATGTTACACTTTAAATCACAACCCAATCTTATTGCACCACCCTATATGATAACAATCACACTTATGCATCATATAGATGCGGTAACAGAATCCAATGATCAAAAGATCATCATTTCCAAAATTTGATTATGTCACCCTTATCCCAATATACTTAGCTCCTGGTTATACCATCTTTATTGCAAAGATATAACCAACTTCTAATTATGTCACCCTTATTACAATCAAATGATAACATAGTATCAAAACCCAAAATTTATGCTAACAATAGCATATACATAATAAAAAATGTTTTCAAAATAAAACTCACTTTAATTCACAGAGATGAAGATTAACAACAACAAATAATCAGATTATGAATCACGGAATTCAGCTTCTCCCTTCTCTTCTTTATGCTCTCTCTCTTTCTCGATTCCAAAGAACACACACATAGAAAAGCTCACTTTTCTTTTTCTCCACCAAAAATCAATGAGATAAGGTTAACATCTCATATATCCACCCATAAACAAATAAGAGGCGGTGGTGGCAGGATTGCTTTTTAAATTATTAAAGCAAATAAAATACATTTAATCCCCTCAATTTACCCACTTTCTTCTTTTCAGTTTTTACCTTCCCAATGAGATAAAGGAAATCTCACATTTAACATGAATTAACAAATATGAGGCAATGAGAGTTTAAAACATTTTAAACATATTGACACATTAAACCCTCCACTTACTATCACCTTTCAAAAACAACCCCAAGCATTAGAACCGAATAACCCGGTGATCTCATTTCTAGAGGCCATCATTTTTCACTCGTAACTCGGATTGAGTTGGTTTTCTTTAAGTCGACTTAATTTTTTTCGAAATATACATTCTAAAAAAACGTGGATGGATACTGAGACAAGAAAACCAGGAAAAATACCCAATAAAAATAACGCTAACTTCAATAACTTGTTATTGTACTAAACACTTACCATTATATTTTTTGACCCAAAAATTTTAGATGTACTTGTTTTTTTAGAGAGATAGAGGAGAAAAAAGTAATGGAAAATAAAGAGAACATGAGGGAGGGTGAAATAAATTAGGAAATGGTGTGTATGTTTTTTTTTTATTAACCCAACCTACTATGCGAGCCGATTAATTACAGACGACCACCTGGTTTGCAGATAGCCCGGAGTCACCGCATTTGAACCTCCATGGCCACAAGGGGATTTTTGTTCCTTCTTGGATTTGAACCTGGGATCTCCTGGTACTTTTGACCTTTGGAGCCAAGCTTAAATCAATCAAACATCACACTTGTGGTATAAATGATTGTATGTTGGGCATGAAGGAAACTACAAGCATATTTTTTAAGAGAGGGAAACATTGAAGCATACTTTTGATATATGATCCTCATTAAGCACATAAACTCAATTACTCAAACTTCCCAACCAAACTGATTTCATAAAAGATTCTCAGAAGTATTACACTATATATTAATTACCAGCCATGAAGGCATAGGATTGATTACAATAACATTAGGTGGTGGTGGTGGTGGTGATGGTGGTGGTGGTAGTGGTGGTGGTGATGATGAAGATGGTGGTGGTGGTGGTGGTGGAAGTACAGAAGCAAAGAAAATAGTTGCAGTTTCCCATTCTCCTAACCTTTGATGTTTGATTCATGCAACCTATTATTCGCATCTACATTGCATATATACATATATATGGAGTTACTGAGCAGCCAAAATAACATCAGCAATGGTGTTGAAATTTCTTCTTTTCTTCATAAGCATCTTGGCAAAGTCAAGAGCTCGTCGCTCACTATCTGCGCGTTTTGCAGGATCACTGATCGACTCGAAATCCTCTACATGAGCTACACCAACAATTCGCCTGTGATTCAAATAAAAATTGAAAATCAAAATAGAATATGTTACACCCTCCATTGATAACAATGTGCTTTCCTTATAAGATTGAGGAAATACCAAACATAGTTATGTAAGCTCTGCATTACCTTATCATTTTGGCAGCAGCAAATCCAAGGGAATCATGGAGTAAATCGATCATGTATTTCTGTTTGACAAGCTCCCAAAGCTCCACATCGTTGTAAATGTCATCAAGGAATGCCTCACCTGGCCCATCCTTGTGTATATCCCAAAGAGCTGTGAACTTTTTGTGAAAGAGATTCCAAGTGTCCGCTATCGTACCCAATATCCATGCTTGATATGTCTGCATTCATAATACTTGCACTATGAAACCTCAAATTTCATATGAAAGAACCTGCATAACATAGCAATTCGACATCTATAGACATACACCCTGGTTAACAAGTACTTAGAACTCAAAAGCAAGACATACTTTTCGATCATTTCCCTTATCTGCATGTCCATCTTGTGAGAAATATGCCAAAAACAGGTTTCCAATAAAAGCACCGATATCAAAACCCATTGGTCCATAGAAAGCAAATTCTGGATCAATGACCTGAGTTGAATCATGAGTAACCATAATAGAACTAGTATGGAGATCACCATGTATTAGTGCTTGTTTTTTCTCACAGAACCTGTGGAAATTCAATGTATGCATCACAGCAAATGGGAAATCTAATAAAACCTATTGAAGAAGTAACTCTGTTCTTACATGGACTTCAGCTCAGCAACTTCAAGCTTTAATACGTTGTCATTCCTAACAGCCTCAGCATCACTATCAAGATAAGGCGATGTCCAACGGTTGAATTCAGAAATCTTATAAGGGTCTGAAAACACCACTTGCTCAGTCAGCCTGCATAACTCCACATTTGCACAAAATTCAGCCACTGCATGGAAACAATGAGGTAGACGTACATGAGATATGTGCATTGAAGTATACCCAGAGTAGAAAAGTGTTGTACATATGCAGAAACACTAGAAAAGAGGCAAGAAAAAACAAGAGGGTTCACCTGCACTTTTGTGTTGTGTAGTTGTCAGATAGAGAAGAGAGGTGTAAAAGAGAGTGTTGGCCATAAATTCCGCCATGTGTTCAGCTAACAACGGATACTCGATTCCAGCAATCAATCCTCTCCTCACGATTATATGTGGAGGCTCGATGTATTGCATACCAATCAATGACATGGTTCTGTCGAAGTGATAAACTTCTGGGACATGTTTAGGAGACAAACCATGCTGACGTTGAAGTGCAGTGGCTTCAAAATAAGATCTTTCCTTACTCATTGGCCATGATTCACCAATCAAACGAACGTATGGTACCGCCTGCCCACATGAAACAAAATCACACGATCAGATACAGCTGAACAAGATCTTTCCTTGCTCAATATATGTCAGAACCTCCTTTAAGGATTCCTAATCTAATGACAGTTTGTACGATTAGTTCTTTAATACTGTTACCCTCTAGAACTGTTAACAAATGGCCTAAAAAGAAATCTAGCTAACAGTGATCATCGTGATTGAAGATTATATACCCCCAAATAGGTTTCTCTAATCAATTTATGAAGTTAATTGGGAGAGACACCTGTTTGATAACAAGCGAAGCAGATGGAGAGATAACGATGTAGACGAAATTGAGATTGCCGTCCCCAACTTCTTTGATTTCCAGGTTATCAACTTGATTCCGGAGCTTGGAAGCCAAAGATGGCGTGGCTTTTATATATTCTCTTAACGAGTTGTCGTCCAGTACTCGAAACCCCTCCATCGCCATTTCTTCCGATTCCGACTGGTGTGGTGGTGGCTGCTAGTGCTATCTGCTATGGAGGGGTTGATTTGTGTTTCAAAAAGGCATTAATGGTCATGACTTTGACGAATTCAAGAAAAAACGAACAAGATGTCTGCTTTATTCTTATTCCTACCGGCGGCATGTGAAATAACATTGAACGTGGCCAATGCTAACTCCACACGTAAATGGAGATTTTGGAAATAAAATCAGACCACTTATCTATATACTATCTATATTATATTATAAAATATTTGATAAAAAATTCTTAAAAATCATTTTTATATGTAAAAAACTGTTTATTTATGTATATTATTTAAAACTCAAGATTACAATTAGATTAAACGTAAGTACAACTTATTAAAGTTTTATATCTAAATTCATGTAACTAACTGCAGATAAACATAATCAAATACAGAATAAACATCTTATTTTGAATATATAAAATCTAAAATATAATTAAGATAATCATTGAGTTTAACAGAATACTTAATTATAATCCTTATAAAATGTTATATTATTAAACCAAAAATAAATTATTTTGTTATTAAATTTAAATTAAATTATAATAAAAAAATAAATTAAAGAAACTATATAAAAATGAAAACTTTTAAATAGTTGATTTGATATTAACATTGATATATTTTTTTTAAAATTTTTATGATATCTTTAGATTTATATTTTATTCAAAAATAAAATCATTATTGCTTTCTTAAAAACACATAAAATCATATTTTAACATCGAGAGAGACAAATAATAAAATAGAACATTAAAATCGAGATGTGTCTCGCTGCATTGCGCGAGTACTTTTCTAGTATTACAAAAGCATACGATTTTTATGCATGAAGTACTTATTATTGATGTATATTATTTAAAATTAATAGTACAAGTAATTTTGCGTAAGTACAACTTATTAAAGCTTCATWTTTRAATTCGYRTAACTAACTGTAGATAAACATGATCAAATACAAGATAAATATTCATTTTAAACATATAAAATCTAAAATATAATTAAGATAATTATTGAGTTCTAACAAAATGTTTAATTATTATATTTATAAAAAATTATATTATTAAATCAAAAATAAATTACTTTGTTATTAAATCTAAATAAAATTATAATAAAAAAAATTAACTTAACGAACTTATACCAAAGAAACAATAACTATTAAATAATTAATTTGATACTAATATCGATTTATTTTTTCAAAATTTTATGTTATCTTTAAATTTATATTTCATTTAAAAATAAAAAAATTATCGATTTTTCAAAACTACATAAAATCGTAGTATATCGAGATAAAGAATAAAAACTAAACATTAAAATCGAGATTTATCTCGCTGCATTGCACGAATACCCTTCTAGTTCTTTAAAATGGAGATTTTAAAGACTTATGTTTGAACGGATTTTCAAAATTTTAATTTTTGGGTTTATTGCTAATTTTTTGTATTATTTAATATCTTTTACTTATTATTAAATTTTCATTGTTAAATGTGAGGGTTAAAGGTATGTTAGTTGATGTCTAATTGTTAATGGTTTTGTTAATTACTACTGTTAACAAGTGTAGTTGAATCGAGTAAGGGGCCGTTTACCAAATATTTATCTGAGTAAACGTTTATCAAGTCACATTACCTTACCTAATGACTATGGCAAAGATCAATGAATCTTATCCGGTAAGAACAAAAACAAGGACCGAAAGTCTTACCTGGTAGGTGATTATGACGATACTTATCATGGTTAGCGCTTACCGGGTAAATTATTACATACAATGTCGTTTTGGTGGACTCAAATCTCACCCGATAAGTAAACTATATTGTTGAATTTTACCGATAAGTGCTTACAGGGTAAGTGTTTAGGTAAACGACCCCTAAGTTTGGCTTGAAAAGTTATACAAAGTTCAAGCTCGAACAACTTATTCAAAGTAACGCTCGAACTATCATTTTTCTAATATCCGAGCTCGATGATCATTTAACAAATTTGAGTTATACATTATACCAAGATATCAAGTTTTGCAAACTCGTTTATGAGTTCAAACAAGAAGCTCAATAATTTTATATTTTGAATATATGATTTATGAAAATAAAAACATGGTTTGCTCGAAAAAATGTATGCTCGAATTGTTCGGCTCAACTAAAAAATCTACTCGAGTTTTAAAATAAGATGAATGGAACATTAGTATCTTACACTCGACTCGTTAAGTTAAATAAGCTTTATTTTGTGTTCCAGATCAACTCGAACTCAAAAATGATTAAGCTCGAGATAAGCAAACTCGAACTTGAGTAACTCCCTAAAAACTTGAATCGTCTAAATATGTTATTCGTTGTACTTGTTTCAAATGTTCATATGCTATTCAAAATACATATATGCAGGTCCCCTTAAATGTCCATATACCTTGGAACACTAATTACTACTGTATGCATGAATTCATGTTCATATACGCAAGTCCTAATTACTACTGTATACATGTATGTATGACCTGTTTCACTGTTACAAGTATGTATAAAATGTGTATATATACTGTTCCATATGCCTAACCCCAAATGCAAAAAAATGTTGTTCGTTTTATGATTCTTTCAATCCACTTCCCATTGAAATGCACGGTTAAGCGATGAAAATTTCAAATTTTTATGTACGATTTGTTTCTTGATTGCAATCTTGGTGAAGAATCCTGTATATAAACACTTTGTATGCATGATATAAACATTGTCAACTATAGGCTATTTCACACATGTTGCAATGTTATTCCCTGTGCTATTTATTCTACTTCTCGATCTTCTATCTGCTATTTGCATCCTTTCCATCGTTTCTTGAAGCTATTGACTGGTTTTTGGTCAGCATTTTCATTTTAGATGTGGAATGATATGAAAATTTGGTTTGAAAAGTGATTTGGTGTCCGTCAATACCCGTTCAATCTACTTCCAGTTGGATAAAAGTACCCTTATTTCACCATTTTATTACAAATATTTTTTTTAATGAACTTCGATCAGTCCTCAATGTTTTTAAGTTGGGTAAATTGCATACAAAAAGTAACGTACTGTAACTTGATTCCTATATTGGGTAACGCACTTTCAGAGCTTCCATTTTTGTACCTAAGATGTAAAGTTTTACACATTTAAGTACACCTAGGTAACCGGTTGAAACATTAACCGGGTACCATGTTGATGTGTCGAGTGATGTGGTATCCAACTCAATATTATTTGTAGAAGCATTAACCAAATACCACATCAGCATGGTAACCGGTTAATGCTTCAAACGATTACCAGGTACTTAAATGTTTAAAACTTTACATCTTAGGTATTAAAATGGAAGTTTTTTAAAGTCAATTACCTAAAATAGGAATTAAGTTAAAGTACGTTACTGTTTCATTCAATTTGCTCTTTTAAGAGTCAACATTTAAGTGAAAATTGGGAAGAAGTTATAATTTTTTATTTTTTTTTAAAGAATTTCATTAATTAAAAAAAAAATTAAGTATAAATCATTAACGGATAAGACAGACCTGTCCAAATTATTTTGCGTAGCCTATGCTCATCCACTTTAAAACAACTCAATTCTGACTCGCCAATTTCTTCATGAGTATCGGACAGGCCAGGCCCTTCCGTCCGTCAGCGGCTCTAAGGAAAACTTCGCATGAATGATATGCATCTGCTACATTTCATGCTTCATGAGATTGTACCTTACAACCATGCAAAACACCACTTCCACTTCCGAATTCGAATATATAACTAGCTCCATTAAGAATGTGTTTAATCTAAGTGACAGTGTATGATGGTACAATAAAAACCGTGGTCCCAGGTAGCTTTTGATACGCAGACATAATTAGACAGGACAGAACAGGACAAGAGGGTAGGACTGGACGGGACAAGACAGGACTGAACAAAACAAGAGTATGTCTAGTGTTTGGTACAACTAGGACTGGACATGACAAAATTAGACAAGCTACCCCCAAACTTTTGATAATTTTAAATATTATATAGTAACTATAATTAACACAAATAAAGTAAATAATTAAAGAATAAATATTTGTACATAATTTTCCTATTTGTACCAAATTTGAATGAAAATTTTGATATAATTGTGGAGGTGGCCGACGGTAGTCGTGGAGGTCGTGGAGGAGGTTGTTGCAGTAGAGGAGGAGTTGAAGGTGGTGAACGGCGGTAGTGGTGGTGGCCGATGGACGGTGGTGGTCGGTGGTCGACTATGGTAGAGGTGGCAATGGACTTGGTGGACGGTAGTTGTGGAGGCGGTGGAGGATGTTGTTGTAGTGGAAGAGGAGGTGGAGGTGGCTGCCGGTGGCCGAAACTAGCGGATGACCATTAAAACAAATATTATATTAAGGTTATATATCAAACTAGGGTAGATTAATAATATTTTAGTTTCTGTTCCATTCTTGTTCCACCTATTTTGGTGGAACAAGAAAAAAACTTCTTTTGTCCCATGCTATCCCACCTTGTCCCAGTTCTTGTCTCTGTCCCACGTCGCGCCAAACATGGGACAGTGAGTTCTTGTTCTGTCCCATGCTGCACCAAACATTGGACAGTGGGTTTTGTCCTGTCCTGTTATGTTCCGTCCCATGTACCAAACGCACAAGGGAGAAGAGGGGACCTAATCCAAATAGGTGGAACAAAGTCGAAAAGATGAGATAAGAGTGACAAAATTACTAAACTAATGGTGTTAAAATTAAACCCCCAAAACATTCTATAAATTCTTTCACGAGCCTACCTCATTCTAAAAACCGACTTTCCAGAACCTATCTGGTTGGCCGGCTGATTAAAAAACTTAGACCTTTCTTCATTCAATGTGCAGGCTGAACCTTATTTTATAAGTCTATATGCATCCGTTTCAGACGTTAAACAAAAGCTGAAGGCAACTCCAGGAACTTAAATCCACGCCCAGTCTACCGTCTTATTCTACATGTAACTATAGGTACACACAGACACATATATACAAAAAAATATTTGGTTATTTTATAAAATGTGGCTCTAGGCATACCTACCAAATAGTCCATAGTGTGTGTGTGTGTGTATATATATATATATATATAAACAAGCACACATAACGCAATCATAGCGCCTCTAACAATGCCTAAACACATGATAATGTTCATATCATTCGTGTTAACTATAGCAGTCGTACCAGAAACTGGTGCCACGGTGAAATACAACATCACAAACACGGCTGCAGAAACCTCGGGTGGGGTCAGGTACGAAAACCAAATTGGGTTCGAGTACAGTAAACACACCTTAAAGTCCTCAAATTTGTTCATATGGAGGATCTTCCAACAAAAAAACAAAGCTGACAGGGCAAATGTGACACTCGTGCACTTATTCATTGATGACATGGACGGTGTAGCTTATTGTGAGGATAACGAGATCCATGTCAGCACAAACTATATTGCAGGTTATCAGGATGATCTTAAGAAAGAATTTAGTGGGGTGGTTTATCATGAGATGACGCATGTGTGGCAATGGAATGGGAATGATTCGGCTCCCCAAGGATTGATTGAAGGGATTGCTGATTTTGTGAGGCTAAAGGCTGGGTACATACCTAGCCACTGGGTTCAGCCGGGGCAAGGTGATCAATGGGACCAAGGGTATGATGTAACAGCACGGTTCCTTGACCATTGTGAAGGTCTCAGAAATGGGTTCGTGGCTCAACTTAATAAGAAGATGCAGTATGGTTACAGTGTTGACTATTTTGTTGACTTGGTCGGGAAGACAGTTGATCTGTTGTGGAGTGAGTATAAGGCTGCATACAATGGTTAGAAATGAATGAAGTTCTAATCATGTACCATCCCCATCAAAAAAGGAAATGTGCAGTTTGACTTTTATGGTCAAACAGATTAAGTATGACCTTGCAAGCCAAACTATAATGGCAACTACATGCACAATGTAATATTATTTCTCTAAACAAATTGTATTTTATGCTTGAATTAGAATTCCAAGTTAAATAAACCTATTTTGCTCATGGAAGAATAAATTACTTCACATTTCTTCGTATGAAAATGGAAATTAGTTCCAAAAATATTCTCACACACATTCCATATATGTTATAAGCCATCAAAGTAAGACTGCAAGATTCGAGATTGATTACAATACCATTACCTGGCTAATATTTGGTGGTGGCTAAGCAGTACAGAAGCAAATGAGGCAAGAAAATAGTAGCAGTTCACTGTTCTCCCTTCATGTTTGGTTCATATAACTTTTATTGAGAGCCATAATATTGTTTGCATATGGAGTTACTGAGCCGCAGAAATAACCTCAGTGATGGTGTAGAAATTTCTTCTTTTCTTCATAAGCATCTTGGCAAAGTCAAGAGCCCGTCTCTCACAATCTCCTCGTTTGGCAGGATCACTGATTGACTCGAAATCTTCTACATGAGCTACCCCAACAATTCGCCTGTGATTCAAAGTGGAGGGTAAAATATAAAATGAAAACAAAAAAGTTACCCGGGGTGGGTTCTCTATTGGTTTGTTACCAATAAAAGAACTTTCAAAATTAAAAAAAAAAAAAAAAGAGAATCAATAGTCATAACAACAGGTCCAAACCATAATATAAATACAAAGAAGATTGGTGTTAAGATTATATAAGAATTAAGAATAGTTCATATTTTTAAATGTTAACCTTTTGAAGTCAAAGGGGGACAACCAACGGACAACGGTGGTATTAGACATATTGTATGTATAGTATAGCATAATTATAGGTTGTTACTTCGGGAGATTTAGTTTGATTTAGCTTTCTTGCTTAGATCTAATATTGTATATATATATATATATATATATTGAGGAGGTTATCTCAATATAATAGAGAGAATTTTGCCAAATACTCATTACATGGTATCAGAGCAACCTGATACAACACCACTACCGTGCAATGAAATCCTAGCCTCCACCACCGTCTTCCAGAGCAACAGAAACCTAGCCACAACAGCCGACCAATCACCTGTTCTCAATTGCATGTTTGCCTCTGAAACCACGGAATCATATTTGTTTGCCTATTCTATGGTGTTGATACAGAAACTAAAACATCCCAGAAAAGTAGATCAATTCCGATGCTGCCAATCCAAAAACCATCAACTCTTTATGGTTACCGCCAGAATCTTGCCTGAAATTCTTAAATCTGCTACCTACCTCACTAGAATCATCACTGTTTTTCTGCATCCCATCATCCTAGATTATTTATTCAAGGGTGTCGATGATAATGTGAGATCTCATTATCAATCTCAATATCAATATACCCCATAATCAAGTTAGGCATGCTAATGGATCAGCATGTCCAATTATGGGCATAAGATCCAATTTAACATGCCAAGCCTAAACTTACCGTTTGTTCTTTATGTTCCCACCTTTCAACATAATATAATATCAACTAGCCAATTTACAACATGTTATTGAAAAATACTACTTTTTTATGACCTTCTTTCTGTGCAGTGGCGGATCCATAATATCCAATGATTGGAGGCACACTTCAAATAAATAATATATATTAGGGCGAATTGCATGATAATGCGACATGCTTTGCTTAGATTCATACTTTGTATAATGTACTTCTAAAACCTTCATTTTGGTACTTCATATGCAATGTTTCATACACTTAAGCAAGTTATGTTGCACAAAATAAAAATAGAACCAACGTACCTTGTATTTTTCATGCATTTTCATATATAAATCGAGTACCTTAATGTTTAATATGTCACATCTGATTTACCAAAATGAAGGTTTTAAAAGTACGGTATATAAAATATGAATCGGACCTAAGTATGTTGCATTTTCATTCAATTGCCCTATAAAGTAGAAGTTATATAAAGAGTACAATGCGATTAAAAATGAAAAGTAAACTCTTACTTAAAATTAGATCTTTTTGTAGGTATTAGTTACATCTTTAAACTGATAACATTTTTCCAATTAATATAATGAATAATAACAAACTGATTTTCAACAAACCGTAACGTCAATTAACTTTTTTGCTAATTATACAAGCCCTAACAATTAATGATAAAATAAACAACAAATTGATTCCCATCAAGCATTAGTTAAATTATCATTTTACAATTAACAAAATCTAACAATCAATAATAAGCAAACGATAATTAATAATAAGCAAATAAATAACAAATTACTACCAATTAATAAATAACAAACAACACATAACAATAGATTCCCAAAAAAACTCAAGTAACGAATTAGAGAGACTGCATCGGCTGGGGGCAAGGAATGCAGTTAGAAGGGAGAGAGATAGATTTAGCTTTTCCCTTCTCACAGCAAAATTCAATAGGCGCAATTGCCCCACTCCATTGTACCTATGTCCGCCACTCATCTCGTATTATTCAGGAATTGGGGACAAACCAATTGATAGACAGAACTTTTGAGTCTCAAGGTTCTACGTCGCTATCTCCAACAACAAATCTAAGTGATTCAATTATAACGGAGGCTCACTGCCAACAAGGAAGCTTCTTTTCCTGTTCTCAAGCAGCAAAGACCAGATTGTTCATCTTTTCATGAGTTATCTAAAGTTGTGTCAGTTGGGTCCCTATCAGTGGCGGACGTACAATAGAGTGGGGGTCATTGCCCCATTTAATGTTGCCGTAAGAAGAGAAAAACTAAAGTTCTCTCTCTCCCTTCTAAGTGGTGCCCCATCCCAATCCATTCCTTGCCCCCAAATGCTCTCTCTCTCTCTCTCTCTCTCTCTCTAATTTGCTACTCGAGTTTTTACAGATCTATTGTTATTTGTTGTTTGCTATTTATTAATTGATAGTAATTTACTATTTATTATTTAGTTTTATTATTAATTATCAGTTACTTATTATTGATTGTTAGGTTTTGTTAACTGTAAAACGTTGATTAACTAAGGCTTGATGTAAATTGATTTGTATTTTATTTTATTATTGATTGTTAGCATTTGTATAATTAGAAAAAAAAAAGTTAATTTAAGTTACAATTTGTTGAAAATTAGTTTGTTTATTTTTCATTATTTACTGTTAGGGTCTATTAATTGGAAATTCTTATTTTATTTTAAAGTCTACTGAAATTAGATTTCTTACAATTTCAAGATGTAACTAATACCTACCAAAAGATCTAATTTTAAGTAAGGGTTTGCTTTTCATTTTTAATGGCATTGCACTTTTATATAACTTCTATTTTATAGGGTAATTGAAAGAAAATGCAAGTATGCAACATACTTATGTTTGATTCATATTTTATGTACCGTACTTTTAAAACCTTCATTTTGGTGATTCAAATGTGACATAACAAACATTAGGGTACCTGATCTATATATGAGAATGCATGAAAATACAAGATACTTTGGTCCTATTTTTATTTTGTGTAACATACTTCGCTTTAAATTTATGATACATTACATATGAAGTACCAAAGTGAAGGTTTCAAAGTTACATTATACAAAATATGAATCTGAGCAAAGCAAGTCGCATTATTATTTATTAAAAGTGTGTCCCCAATCATCAGATATTCTGGATTCGCCACTAGTCCTATACCCCTAAAGAGTCTAGTGCCAACTTTATCCGGTTAATTAACTCGGATATACGGAACCTTATCTTATTACCTCTAGTGATGGTTTTATATATTTGATTACATTTGTTAATGATTTATCTTCTACAACATGGCTTTTAAGCATTTTCTAGCTTAAGATGCATAACAAAATCCTTTATGTTTAGTGACTTTTATGTGTATCTCCTAGTTAATATGATGATGTAAAAGAATATTTCTTTTGATTTTACAAGTTTTTTATTTGAGCGTGAGATTATACATTAATCATCGTGTGAGCATACACCTGAACGTAACTAAAACACTATCATTTGCTGGATGTGGCTCGTCATAGATGATATCACTGTAGTACCACAAAGTTTTTGGAACTAATTCATTGAATACCTGTATGCTATGTCGTGTCTTTTCATCAAGGATATTGTTTTAGGAAAAGCGGTCGGCATCGCTCGCAAGCTTTATTAAAACAAAAAAGGATTACACCAAACGGAGGTAATGCCTGGAGGTAGTACTCCATTAGGTGTAATCCTTTTTTGTCCTAATAAAGCTTTGCCAGCGGGTACCACATGCTTTCCTAATGTTCTTGATGAAAAAAACACCATTTTTCATACTATTCGCAAAAGGCATCGATTTTCATCTTGCTCCTAAAATATTTGGATATGTGTCGTATGTCCATGATCATCGCTTGAAAGCTAATAAACTTGAACCACACTTGGGATTCGCATGTCCAAGAGACTATCATAGTTATGGTCCAACCAATCGTATATATTCTACCAATGTTGATGTTACCTCCAATAAGTCGAGTCCCTTTTTTGTAGAAGCCACTAGCAGTCTTTAAAAGTCATTAAAATTAGTTTCAGAACCTTCTGAATTTCCTAATACTTTGGACTAATGCTTCGAATACATGGTTGCCATACTCGTAGTACTGATAGATACTCGGTTCACAAATGTGTAGGTAAGACAACACCCTAGACAAGTGACACCCAAGAGACCCTTAACTTTGCACCATGATTCCGGTTAGTCCCCTGTTCCATCACCTGAAATGCACATACCAACACAATTCGAGTGTGAATCACATACTAAGTTGATACTCAATACACCTCTACCATCACCTACCGAGCCTTATAACCAACTTGGTTCCCCTCTCCCTAATACTCTAATTGACTTCCGAAAAGAAACAAGGACTTGTACAAATATCCATCCACGTTTCCAGAAAGGTGACTGAGGCACTTAATCACCTAGGATGATTTTAAGCAATGCATGAGGAGATAGATGCCCCATAGAAAAATCATACTTAAGATTTAGAACATCTTTTTGAAAAGCACAAAGTGGGTTGTAAATGGGTATTTTACAGTGAAGCTTAATCTTCGCAATCTATTGTATCGATTGAAAGCCCTGTTGGTTTCAAGGGGCTATTCTCAATTGACTATGATAGACATTCTCTCCAAAGTCGATATGTAGTCTCTTCAAATCTGTATAGGCTTGCCTATCATTAATCACCATATGCTCCATCAATTGGATGTCAAAATGCCTTCCTCGATGCCGTTTTCTAGGAGGTGTACATAAAGCAACCATCTAGCCGTCTATTTGTTTTGAAAGAGAGACCTCAAAGATATGTTGATTGTGACATTCATTATATGGTCTCAAGCAGTACCCTAGGGTGTGGTTTGAGCGATTTTCAGATGTCTTCCAAGAGTTCAGGATGACTTGTAGTTCCTAAGATTCTTCCTTCTATAGACATCAACAGAGTCGCCAATACATAGTAGTTATCTATGTGAATGACATTATTATCACCAAAGATTAGAGCTTCTACGTTTCAAAGTTAAAGTATAGTCTTAAATTTAAGGTTACAAATTTAGGAGGTCTTTGTTAGTTCCTTGAAATAAAAGTTTCATGGTCGTCTTAGGGATTCTTCTATCTCAATGGAGGTATGGTATTGATATGTTTACAAAGTGTTGTCTACTATGGTGCAAACTAATAGATAGCACGTTGATCACTATATGAAAACTCCTTCTAGATGAAGTCCTATGAAGGCTCCAAAGTGATATAGGGGACTAGTTCGTAATTATACTATCTAACAGTTACTCGACCAATATCTCATTCCTTGTCAGTTTTTTGACCCAATTCATGTTTGTGTACGTGCTCCATACATAGATCACTAGGATGCAACATTTCATATTTTAAGGTATGTTAAGGCCACACAAAGCTTAGGGATACTTTGTTCAAATTTGAGCATGATTAACATTTTTGCTCTAACTTGAAGAGGAGTGTTGTATAACTTGTATAGTATAATTTCATTCTTTAGGTGATTTCATTTGATTTAGTTTCCTTGTTTGGATCTAATATTGTGTGTTTGTGTGTACATACACAGAGAGAGAGGGGGTGGATGAGGTTATCCAACAATGAAATATAGAAAATTTACCCAAATATAGGCTATTGATGGCAATATAAATAACAACATTCTAAAAGACAAGCCAATGATTCTAGATTCGGGCTTGATGAAAATGGTGTGATAATACTTGAGAACAACCAAGACATTTATTGAGTAAAGGTGGCATGATTAAATTCTAACTTCCAAGTAAGATATTTGGTTAAAATTACAATGCTCCAAACTGAAGTTACTATTTGTTAATAAAGCGAAGAAATTTAACAAACTACAACTCATACAATGAACTACAGTTAAAAAGCATTGTTGTCAAATATCATACAATTTGGATTAATTCAAGAACCAAATGATAAGAATCCCACTAACAAAATGAAATATTCCCTATATTGCCATCATATTTGCAAATGTTCATTTATCGATAAGTGATTCAATGAACTTGTTTGATCAAGTTATTTTGAAAAATGATGTCATTTGTATGTATACTATATTGATCCAAAATTTGTTGGTAGCTACATGAATAAAAAGGTTATTTTTCATATAGGTTGAAGTCGTTAAGAACGCTAATAGGACGAGACAATGTTCTAGTGAGAAATGCAAGTATATCTTGGTTTAAACATCGGTAAATGTCACATTGTATGTTTACGGTTATATATATATGTCACATCAATTATTTTTAGGAAAAGTCGAGACACATCGACAATGCAATTCTTTATTCATGAGTTTTGGGTAGTGATTCCAAAATCAATTCATGAATCGGCAACCATGTAAGAGAACCATAAAATATGCAATAGTGCAAGTCCAAAGAAAATTACTCCTTTCATCAGATTAAATCATCCCTCTTATTGTTCGGGATATCCCATTAGACAACATTTCCTTTTTCGGAAAGTTTTCATGTAAAACTTTATCTATTTGCCCGTTATTTTAATTACAAGTAAAATTAGGTAGTCATTTCAAATCCACAAGATTACTGTGTGTGGTCTTTTATTGAAGGGTATTTTAGACATTGATAAATAGTCAAACAATTTTCTTAGAACATGTCTCAAGTCAAATGCTGCAATTTCATGGGACGAAGGAAACATTTTAAATGTAGTTGCAAAGATCTGAATTACCGTATCATTTTGGCAGCAGCAAATCCAAGGGAATCATGGAACAAATCGATCATATATTTCTGTTTGACAAGCTCCCGAAGCTCTTCATTGTTATAAATTTCATGAAGATATGCCTCACCAGGCCCATCCTTGTGAATATCCCAAAGAGATGTAAATTTTTTGTGAAAGAGATTCCAAGTGTCGGCTACCGTATCCATTATCCATGCTTTATATGTCTGCATTCACAACACTTGCATTATGGAACCCAAAAGCGTGTATGAGAGAAATGGCATAACATAAGTGATAGTTTGACATCTACAAAAGTATGGCATAACATGTGTAACAAAAATATCTCAAGTTGAATCAAATCTAGTCTGCCTACAACCTTATTGAATGCATACAGTGAACGGCGACTATGATTTGAACAAAAAAGGATTGTCAAGAATAGGGTGTGTAGACATATCTGCTCGTAAAACCTAGTGAACCGGCCAGCTAAATTTGGCAAGTCCAAGCCTGTGATAAATATGAGCCAAGCCAAGACCAAGCCTTCAATGGTTCGGGCTTCGTAACTTAAGAGACCGTAAACAAGCCGAACACACAAGGTCTATACAAGCCACATGTAATTTATATTTGCATCTAGTGGATATCTAATTGTAATTTTTAGAGATAATTTGATTGTAATTATATATAAAATGGTTTTTGTTGTGAATGAAGGATATAATCCAATGAAAAATCAATCCTCAATTTGCAGATTAGTCCACATTAGATCAAACTGATAAACCCCCTTTGAGGTTTACTTATAGAAGAAGAAATTAGTTTTGAGTGGGTTTAATTGCTGTTTCCTGTTACGAATAAGAGAGGGGCAGTTCGGTAATTGTGTCTAGCTTAAATAGTGAGCTATTGGTAGTAGTGGGGAATTCTGTTTCACTTTCTGGTGAGTTCTGTTTGGGAGCATAAGCTCAGGGAGAGAATTCCAGACCTCTCGAAAGTCTGGGAGACATATCAATTTTGTATCGATAAAGATTGGCCGACAATTTCATTCTTGTTTGTTCCAATTGAAGATAACTAGCTATTGTAATTTTGTTTCTGTTTGTAATCGTTTACGAATCTAGCCAGGGGGTGCGTTTCTGTTTACGAATTGGGCTAGGGTATAACAAATTGGTATCAGAGCTCGTTACGATCAGCAATGGCGAATGAGACGACGAGAAGCGCAAATAATCGAATTGAAGACCTGGAGAGCAGCGTGGGTTCAATTGAAAGGAGTCTGGAAAGAATCGTACAGCAAATTGAAGAAATGAGAAATGAATTTGCAAATCGAACGAATGTCTCAAATTCGTCGGACGAGGAAGCTGCTAGCCAGTTCGAACGAGGAGACAGAAGCCGTAATCAAGGCAGTCGATTTTTGGCCACGAAAGATCGCAAATTAGAGATTCCGGTTTTTGATGGCAGAGATCCAGATGGTTGGATTTTAAGAGCTGAAAGATACTTCATGTTGAACCAGTTGAGTCAAGAAGAGAAGATTGATGTGTCGTTTATTTCATTTGAAGGAGATGCATTGAAGTAGTTTCAATGGGAACATAAGCGACATCCTATTACTAGATGGGAGGATCTGAAACACTTGTTGTTAAGACAATTCAGATCGTTAACAGCAGGATCGTTGTGTGAACAATTTTTATCGGTAAGGCAGGAAGGTTCGATCGAAAATTACAGAAGGAAATTCGTTGAATTTGCGGCGCCTTTGGATGGGATTCCGGAACAAGTTTTCTTAAGTCAGTTCATTAATGGATTGGAGGAATCCATTAAAGTGGAATTAAGACTTATGGATCCTTTAACTCTCACTGAAGCAATGGAGATAGCCATGAAGATCGAATTGAAGAACAAGGTATTAGCAAAAGAAAGAAATGTGGGGTATAGCAAGAAGACAGGTACGTTTTTTCATTCTAATGCGGATTTGAGAAGCAATGTTTCTAATCATTCCTCTAATAGTGTCGGTAATTCTGTTAATTCACCGACATTTACAAATAAATCGGTTCCCGGTTTTCAGCGTTTGTCTGATCAAGAAGTACAACAAAGAAGATCGTTGGGTTTGTGTTATCTTTGTGATGAGAAATACGCACCAGGTCATAAGTGTAAAAAGAAAGAGATGAATGTGCTGTTAGTTCAGGAGGATTCATTCGATGATACTGAACCAGAGACGGAGGAAAGAATCTTTAATGCGGCAGAAGTAACGGATAAAGTGGAGGTGCATTTAAATTCGGTGGTGGGTCTGACTAATCCAAAAACGATGAAGATGGAAGGAAGAATTGGAAGACAAAAAGTTGTAGTATTAATTGATAGCGGTGCAACGCATAATTTCATATCCTACGACCTAGTGAAAAGACAGAAGTTAAAAGTGGAAGCTACAGGAGAATACACTATTACTTTGGGTTCCAGAAATATGGAGAACGGAAATGGCATTTGCAAAGGGATAACGTTGTTTTTACCAGAAGTCGAGATAAGGGAAGATTTTCTTCCTTTGGGTTTGGGTAATAGTGACGTGATCTTAGGGATGCAATGGCTAGAGTCTTTGGGGGCAACATATGTTAACTGGAAGTTACAAGTAATGAAATTCACTTGTGGGGGAAAATCGGTCAACCTTAAAAGGTGATCCATCTTTGGGACGTTCGATGGTGTCATTGAAAGCTATCGGAAAGGTGATCATCCAGGAAGGACATGGCGTGTTGGTGGAATTGGGTACTTGTTCGGTATTCTCGGAGGAAATGGCAGAATCAAATGTTGTTTTGGATCCAATACTAAGAGAATATGAATCGGTTTTTAACATGCCGCGGGGATTACCACCGGAGAGGGGTAGGGAGCATGGGATTGTGTTAAAGGAAGGGACTGAAACGATTAATGTTCGGCCATACCGTGACCCACATTATCATAAAGATGAAATTGAGAAATTGGTAAAAGAGATGCTCAAGGCAGGAGTTATTCAACCGAGTATGAGTCATTTCTCCAGTCCAGTATTGTTGGTTAAGAAAAAAGACGAAAGTTGGCGGTTTTGTATCGATAGCTTTGAAGCTTATTGGGAGAATCTTGAAGCACTTCTTCAGCAATTTCCCAGTTGTCACCTTGAGGACAAGGTGAAATTTTTTGGGGGGGAGTATTGATAAACCTCCTTTGAGGTTTACTTATAGAAGAAGAAATTAGTTTTGAGTGGGTTTAATTGTTGTTTCCTGTTACGAATAAGAGGGGCAGTTTGGTAATTGTGTCTAGCTTAAATAGTGAGCTGTTGGTAGTAGTGGGTCATTCTGTTTCACTTTCTGGTGAGTCCTGTTTGGGAGCGTAAGCTCAGGGAGAGAATCCCAGACCTCTCGAAAGTCTGGGAGACGTATCAATTTTGTATCGATAAAGATTGGTCGACAATTTCATTCTTGTTCGTTCCAATTGAAGATAACTAGCTACTGTAATTTTGTTTCTGTTTGTAATCGTTTACAAATCTAGCCAGGGGGTGCATTTCTGTTTACGAATTGGGCTAGGGTATAACACAAACTAATAGCAATATCCACAAGATCAATCAACACAACTTTTCTGATATCAAGATTTAGCGGAAACAGATTGAGGAGGCTAATTACGGTATTCACTAAGCATATAGAATTATTTATCAATCAAGCATCGAACATATATGAAAGTAAAGCAGAGGAAGAGAATGACATGGGAGATTTTTATGTGGGAACCCGGAAAGAGAAAAACCACCGGCCGAGGACACAGAAAACTGATCCACTATTGATGATGATGTTACAACAATGAAGATTACAGCAATAGTGACGAAGAAATCATAAAATTTGGTATCAAGTTCGTCTATGGAGAGCTGAGCAATGATTTGGGAGAAGAGATGAAATGTGACCTAAGGGAGAGTTCAAACAAGAATAGGGTCAAAATACAAAACATGACTACCATGAAACACCATGAAAGACAGAAAGAGTATCACAATATGGATGTCAATTAAAGAGAATAAAATGCTCGTTTTTTGGGTATAATTTGTTTAGCTCCAATTTTTCTTGTATTTTCACCTATTTTAACTTTAAAATAAGAGGGGACTTTTTTTTATTTTAACAAAAAGGTGGTTGTGACCATCTTTTTAATCACATCCGTTCAATCATCTCATCTTACGGTTGAGATATGTTCTTTGTTTTCGTATTTTGACCTTGTTCTCGTTTGAACCACCACCATATGACCTGATCTGGAATAAACCCCGCAAAGGGCCACCTACATCACCTGGTTATGCGACCCAAAGTTGCACAACTTGATCGCTCGGTTCCATAATCTTCATATGCAACCGTCCCATGCGACATACTAAGGCCGCACACATCAGATGCTATAGATCGCAGAAAATGTACCATAACTATCAGCTTTGCACAACCTACGACCTTCACAAGCGACCCAAGGTCACATTCCTTGGTTGCATAGACTTGGATTGGAGGCATATGTCACAATTTCCTTTAAACTCTATAAGAGCCAACATAAAGGTCAACAACCCTAGCTTATAGAAGCCATAAAAACAGAGTTAAAAAAACAAGAAAAAACTCGAGCAGATACAAAAATAGACGAGCCTATACAGGCCGAGCCCCATCCAAGCCCAAGTTACATATTTTTCACAAACTACACCTTAAGGTGAGCAAGCTTGGGCATGGGTCAAATACGCCACTAGTTGCAAATAAACTCAAAAGCGAGACTTACTTTTCTGTCATTCCCCTGATCTGCATGTCCATCTTGTGCGAAATAGGCCAAAAACAGGTTTCCAATAAAAGCACCAACATCAAACCCCATTGGCCCATAGAAAGCAAATTCTGGATCAATGACTTGAGTTGAATCATGAGTAGCCATGATAGAACCAGTATGGAGATCACCATGTATTAGAGCTTGTGTTTTTTCACAGAACCTGCACAGTAGTATCAATTTGCTTAAGGAACAGCTTCCAGAAATTTAATATTATACATCACATTCAAATGGGAAATCTAAAATAAAAACATAGGCAATTGATTTTGTACTTAGACTTCAGCTCAGCAACTTCAAGCTTTAATATTTTGTCATTCCGAACGGCCTCTGCATCAGTATCAAGATAAGGTGATGTCCAATGGTTATATTCAGAAATCCTGTAAGGGTCTGAAAACACCACTTGCTCAGTCAGCCTGCATAGCTCCACGTTTGCACAAAATTCAGCCACTGCACGGAAAAGATGAGGTAGCGCATGAGTTATGTGCACTGAAGTACACCACATATTTTTTTTCAGAACTTCCAAAAGTAAATAGATAAGCTAGATAGTTAAGCAAAGAAACATTCTTTCTCATTGACGTTATTTATGAAACAACAGAACATCAATTCAGGTCAACTAATTAGGGTAAAAACTGAAGGAAACCATAATCCTTTCCTTTTTTTCTTCCAATCTGATGAATATCCTCTCTGATTTATATCAATCCTCTCCCTAATTTATCTTGATCTGCACCTGATTTTTGGGACTTTCTGTTGTAATATTCCTGTATCAATAATATTTCCCCTCTGGTATAATGAAAAGATACAACCAATAATTTTAATGGTATCAGAGTGGGATCAAAGCATCCTGGAAACAGAACCCAAACCCTAAATCAAGAACCAACTGTAATCCTGTTACCACCACGGCAAAACCAAATGAAACTCCAGGAGACTCTTCCACCAATCCATCCTCCGACCCCAACTCACCTTACTATATCCACCCGAAGAATTATCCTTGTCAAATGCACGTGAACGAGGCCCTAAACAATAGCAACTATGCAGATTGGTCGCGAGAAATGAGAGACTTTCTTTTTGCAAAGAACAGGATCGGATTTGTGATGGATCAATTCCACAACCAGCAGAAGATTCACCCGAATTAAGAACATGGCAACAAAGTGACGCCTTAATCAAGGGATCGCTCATCACCGCTATGGAGGAGATACGAAACAGCGTGAAATACGCTGTCACGTCGAAGGAAATCTGGGATGACCTTGAAGAGTGTTTTGGAAAGAACAATCCCCCTCAAGCTTATGAGATGAAACGAACGTTGACCCTAGCAAGGCAAGACAAGCTATCCGTGTCAGCATACTACACAAAGTTAAAGCGGAATTTGGGACAAAATTCAGCCCATTTCGCCATCACCAAGGTGTATGTGCGGTAAATGTACATGTGATCTTGGGAAGAACTTATGGATTCAAAAGAAAGGGAGCACATCTACGAATTCCAGATGGGTCTTGACTGTCAGAATAGTATTAGACTATTAGTCAGTCTTTGTGTTTGCAGCATGATAGGTCTCGAACCTAGTAATTAGGAATTAGTTTGTTTTTAAAAGCTTCTTAGTTTGTTAGCATTTTGCTCCCGTTTTTATGCTTTCTGTTATGGGTGCAAAGTTCGTTTTGTAGGCTATTTAAAGCCAAGTTTGTTCCATGGAATAATAGCTATTATTTGGTATTTGAAAGCAGTCTATTCTTTGATCAATCAATTGGTATCAGAGCCAATACTCGGCAGTCTAAATACGTGAAAGTTCAGAGAGTGATACACGAATGGGTGAGAGATGGCTACTGACTCAAACAATTTCCAAACCCCCTGTGTACCCAAGTTCGATGGGGACTACGATCATTGGAGTTTGATCATGGAAAACTTGCTTTGATCAAAAGAATACTGGAGTGTGATCGAAAGGGGTTATACAGAACCGGGACCTGGAGTGCATCAGCAACTCAGCAAAGAGCCTTGGATGAAGCCAAACTCAAAGACCTGAAAGCACGAAACTATCTCTTTCATGCCCTTGACAAGACTACCTTGAAGACTATCACCCAGAAGGACACCGCAAAGCAACTAGAAGTGCAAGAGTGGAGAGGGCTCAATTGCAACGGCTTCGGACGGAGTTCGAACCCTTGGAGATGAAAGTGGGAGAATCAGTGTGATTATTTTGGACGAGTCATGATCGTTGCGAACGATATGAGAAACTATGGAGAAGATATGGACGATGTGAAGATCGTCGAAAAAATCCTTTGAACACTGACAGAAAGTTTCAATTTTGTCGTGTGTTCTATTGAGGAATCGAAGGATATCGATCGACTGACTGTCGATGAGCTGCAGAGTTCGTTGCTAGTCCACGAACAAAAGGTGAGACGAAGAGAAAGTGATGAGCAACAGAGCAGGTACTGAAAGTTGAGCACGACACTGGCTTCGGTCGTGGTAGAGGAAGAGGAAGAGGAAGCAATCGTGGACGAGGGAGAGGAAGAGGTAGATCAGACTTCGATACATCTCTTATTGAATGCTATGGGTGTCACAAACTTGGACACTTCCAATATGAGTGTCCTGGCGGGGAACGAGGAGCAAACTACGTCGAGTTTTGATGAAGGGGAGGACCTGCTATTGATGGCCTATGCTTGAGATCAATGATGCAAATCAAGGGATATGGTTTCTTGACTCAGGTTGCTCTAACCACATGACAGGCTCTAAAGAATGGTTTGTCCAACTTGATGAAGGTTTCAGTCACACTGTCAAACTAAGGAACAATTCGAGACTCGCGGTCAAAAGCAAAGGAAGTATAAGATTTGAAGCAGAAGGTACAACTCAGACCATCACAGATGTTTATTTTGTACCTGAGTTGACAACCAATCTGTTGATTGTTGGGCAACTACAAGAAAAGGGAGTGACTTTAGTAATTGCAGCCGGTACGTGTAAAATCTACCATCCACAAAAGGGGTTGATTACAACTTCCAAAATCACAGCTAACCGGATGTTCACGGTGTCTGCAACTATGAAGCMTCTCTCAAATCGATGTCTYAAGGTCGATGWCRGAGATRSACAKATTTGGCACAGACGTTAYGGRCATGTAAGTTACAAAACCATCAGGACCATGCAACATAAGCAAATGGTGAAGGGACTGTCTCGAGTGAATGGCAAACTAAAGTGTGTGAAGTATGCAATAATGGGAAACAACATCGAGAAGCCATACCAAAGAAAAGTACATGGAGAGCTTCTGAGAAGCTTCAACTTATTCACATGGATCTCTACGGGTCTATATCTCCTACTTCTCTAAGCGGCAAAAGGTACATCTTCATACTTGTTGATGACTTTACACGCAAAATTTGGGTCTATTTTCTCTCTGAAAAAAATGAAGTCTTTGAAGTGTTTAAAAATTTCAAGAATCTGGTGGAAAAAGAAACGAGAAATTTATACTCGGTTTAAGAAGTGGTAGGGGAGGAGAGTTCACTTCTAGTCAGTTCAATCAATTCTGTGTAACACATGGGATTAAGAGGCAATTGACCGTTGCCTACATCCCGCAACAAAATGGAGTGGCCGAACGTAAAAATAGGACCATAATGAACATGGTTCGATGCCTTCTAGTAAAAAAGGGGATGCCGAAGTATTTATGGCCAGAAGCAGCTAAGTGGGCATGCCATGTACTAAATAGATGTTTCACAAGTGCGTAAGATGACATGGTGCCAGAAGATTGTTGGACCGGAATAAAACTGAGTGTTGACTACTTTCGGGTGTTTGGTTGTATTGGGCACGTGCTTGTACCCAAACAACTAAGAAGTAAACTTGATACCAGAAGCCACAAGTGTGTCCTCCTTGGGGTGAGTTCAGAATCAAAAGCATGCAAAATTATATGATCCAGTCCAGAGGAAGATAATCATCAGTAGAGATGTTATTTTTGAAGAAGATTCAAAGTGGGACTGGAGCACAGATGGAGTCGAAGTCAGCAGTGAACAGTTGGTTTGGGATGAAGAAAAGGCAGCAACAAAAGATGATCATGATGAGGAGATAGGAGCTAATGAGGAACCCTCGACTGAAGAAGAAATAGTAGACCATGCAGAACCCGAAAACACAACAGAGGCAGCAAGAAATCTAGATGGGTGATTATCGAAGTGGGGAAGGCTTATCAGATGAAGAGGCAAGTTTATTTGCAATGTTTAGTTCTCTTATTGACCCATTAAGTTTTGAAGAGGCTGCCAAAGAAGAAAAGTGGTTGAAGGCAATGGAAAGTGAACTACAAGCCATCGAAAGAAACAAAACATGGGAGCTTGTAGATTTATCAACAGATGCAAAGACAACTGGAGTGAAAGGGGTCTTCAAAACCAAGCTAAATGAAAATGGGGAAGTCGACAAATACAAGGCTAGGTTGGTCGTGAAAGGATATGCCCAAAAGAAAGGAGTCGATTATGATGAAGTGTTTGCACCGGTAGCGCGATGGGATACCATTCGAACTCTACTTCTTGTGGCTGCTCAAAGAAACTGGGTTGTGTATCAACTAGACATGAAAAGCGCATTTTTATACGGTGAACTTAGAGAAGTCGTGTACGTGGATCAACCGCAAGGGTTCGTCAAGAAAGGTAAAGAAAATAAAGTTTATCGTTTAAATAAAGCCTTATATGGACTGAAACATGCTCCGAGAGCTTGGTTCAGTTGAATTGAGGGTTATTTCAAACAGGAGGGATTCAAGAAAAGTAGCCATGGTCACACCTTGTTCATAAAAAAAGGACAGGTGAAATGTTGGTCATAGTAAGCCAATTTATGTTGGAAATAATGCTAATATATGTGAAGATTTTAAGAGATCAATCCAACAAGAGTTTGAAATTACAGATATGGGTATGATGATTGTTGGAAAATAAATATCATTTGTCATAAAATATTAGACATATTATTTAGTTAGTAGTATTATGTGTAAATTTAATAATTGTGTCATCGTGACACATCATCATCGGTAGTTATAGGCCGTAACCGTATATCCAACCATCATAATCGAACCATTGTGTTGGTTCAAAGAACCGGTTGGATAACTATATATATGTACGTATACGTGGTCTGTAAATAATCAATCTTCTGTAGTAAATAATATAGTTTTACTGTTAGTTTCATCCAACACACATTCACACACACTTGTTCCTTTCTTGCTCTACAATTCGATGGATTCATCTTCTGGTGATACTCGACAGAAGGCTGTCAAGAACAGACACTGTGATGGTGAATCTGTGTCTGTTAATCAACAGAGATTTTTTTTTGGTGTGGAAGTTTATCAAAATGACAAAGGAATTCATTTATGCCAGAAAAAATACGCAAGAGAAGTACTTGAAAGATTTGGAATGTGGAACAGCAACCCAGTTAAGAATTTCATTGTTCCTGGTACAATTCTCAGGAGAGAGGGAAAAGGAAAAGAAGTCAATGCAACGGTGTACAAGCAATTAGTGGGCAGTCTGATGTACCTCATGGTTACGTGACCCGATCTGATATATGTAGTCTGTTTAATATCTCGGTTCATGGCTAAACCAAGAAAGAACATATGAAGATAGCAACGAGGGTGTTGAGGTATTTGAAGGGTACACATGGTTACGGTCTCTTGTACAGGAAGAATGCTTATGCAAAACTCAAAGCATACACCGATAGAGATTATGTGAGAGACATCGAAGACAGATGGTGCACCTCGGGCTATGTTTTTCTCTTAAGCGAAGTAGCGACATGCTGGAGCTCAAGAAAGTAGCCTATTGTCACTTTATCATCAACGGAAGCTGAATACGTGGCTGCAACCTCGTGTACGTGCCACTGTGTATGGATACGAGGATTGCTCGAGGATCTTATGGAAAACCAAAGTAAAAGTCTTGAAGTCTTCTGTGACAACAGTTCAACCATTAAGTTGTCCAAAAATCCGGTGATGCATAGAAGGACTAAACATATCGACGTATGATACCGCTATTTGCGAGAGCTCGTGAGTCAAGAAGTAGTGAAGCTAGTGTTTTGTGAAACTAAAGATCAGATTGCAGATAATGACAAAGCCTTTGAAGTTGGGAGCATTCACCAAGCTGAGGAGTTTACTTGGAGTTCAGGCACCGGAAGATTAAACTGATGCTTCTTGAAGCACTTCAGTTTAAGGGGAGAAATTGTCAGAATAGTATTAGACTATTAGGTCTCGTACCTAGTAATTAGGAATTAGTTTGTTTTTGAAAGCTTCTTAGTTTGTTAGCATTTTGCTCCCGTTTTTATGCTTTCTGTTATGGGTGCAACGTTCGTTTTGTAGGCTATTTAAAGCCAATTTTGTTCCATGGAATAACAACAATCATTTGGTATTTGAAAGCAGTATATTCTCTGATCAATCATTGACGAGACTTTTGGAACGGTAAGGACACAAATCCATAGCACCAAACCAATTCTCACACTTAGAACGACCTACCATCTGGTCGACGAGGACAAGCAACAAAGGTCTATCACTGCTGCAACGACGACAACTTTTGAAGCTGTCGCCTACCAAACTCGTGGACAACTTGAACGAAGCACCGCAGAGCGAAGGAACAACAATCGTGATCACGAGGGGGTAAAGTGCGAACATTGTGGAAAGAAAGGGCACAGGATAGAAGGTGCTTCGAGAAAATTGGGTACCCAGAGTGGTGGGGAACACGCCCACGTAAAGGCGAACAGAATGGGCCCAAAAAACCAAGGGCCAATGTCAAGGTCGAAACCAGCCCGATACCAACCGTAAGCATGGAGCAGTACACAAGGCTTATGCGTCATCTGAACATGGAAAATGGTCAGAGGCAAACATGGCTCATAAGATAAATTTTGAGAAACCTTGGGTGATAGACACAGGTGCAGAACACATTGCTTGCAACGATTCAGTATTGTGTAGTCGAACGGACTCGTGCAATGGGGCACCGGTGAAAATACATCAGATGGTGAAAAAGCTCCTCTTCGGGGAATCAGGAGTGCATACTTGCCGAATAATAAGAAAATTAATGATGTTTTGTACATACCTGATTTCAAATATAATTTATTGTCCATAAGGAGCATTACAAAGGATTTTGATTGCTCAATGACGTTTTTTTCGGATGTTTGCATCATGTAGGACTCACGCTCGAGGAACCTGATTGGGGTGGGAAGCTATAAGAATGGTCTATACTGCATGGAACCGAAGGGATGTGAAAGGCCAGCAGTGGTAGTTTCAATTGATGCAGAAGTTTCACATAGAAGACTAGGTCACGCCTCAAACACTAAGCTGCAACGGTGTTGATTTTCTGGGTGATTTCCCTAGTTTGTAATTCATGTGGGAGGGCTAAACAAACTCGACTCTCGTTCTTTGATAGTTCAATTAAAACTACTGTTTGTTTTTTATCTGAAGTGTACAAGTCTGAAAAGTCATTCTTTAGCTCACCTGCATTCTAAAGTCTTCTTTTTCAAACTTAGCTCACCCGAACTCTGAAGTCTTTTTTTTCAGACTTATAAGTCTAAACTCTGATTTAGTGGGATTGATTTTATATTTCAGTTATTTCAAGAGTACAAGTCTGAAGAGTCGTTCTTCAGAGTTTTACTTCGGAGTTATTTCCAGAGTATAAGTCTGAAGAGTCATTCTTCATAATTAGCTCACCCGAACTCTGAAGTCTTCTTTTCCAGACAGAGCACCATGCAGAGTCTTTGCATCGTGCATGCAGAGCTTCCGACTTGCCTATACAGAGCTCTGAAGTCTGAAGAGTTTTACTTCAGAGTTATTTCAAGTGTACAAGTCTGAAGAGTCATTCTAAATTTACTTCTAAGTTTAAATTCAATTTACTGATATAGTTCATTTCTAAATTTAATTTTCTAGGGTTAACTTCATTTTCACTAATTATTGATATAGTTTCATTTCTAAATTCAAGTCTGAAGAGCATTTTTCAGAGTTATTCTTCAAAATTATACTTCAAAGTTATTTCAAGAGTACAAGTCTGAAGTAGCATCATACTTTTGATGATCATTCATATATATAAGATAAGTTTCCTGACATGATTTAATTTTTTAAAATTATCCCGTGTGATACACGGGACCGAACCATATTTTATGACCATATTTTATCTCATCGCTATTTCATCGCTATAACTACTATTTCAAATCAAGGCCCGGACCCCTATTTCCGCTACCAACCGCATTAACTACTTAGAGCATACCAAACATGTGGAGATGGATTGCTACTTTGTCCGTGAGAGAGTTGTCTCGAGAGATTCAACCATTATGTATTGACACCAAAAATCAAGTTGCGGACATTTTTACCAAGCCACTTGGGACTGAATGTTTACGATTCTTGCTTGACAAGTTGGGCGTTCGAGACCTTCACGATCCAACTTATCTTAATCTGAACCTATTTTTCTTCCAATCTGATGAATATCCTTTCTGATTTGTATCAATCCTCTCCCTAATTTATCTTAATCTGAACCTGATTTTGGGGACTTTCTGTCGTAATATTCCTGTATAAATATTTCCCTCTGGTATAATGAAAAGATATAACCAATAATTTTCAAAAACTTTAAAAGCTTCATATGAAAACTTAAAGAATTGACATATTTTTATTATGAAACGGATTAAAGCTCAGACTTTAACCTGAAATAAGAGGCTGTGGCGATAAAACACAAAAACTTCAAGTAAGAAAATAAAGGCAACCTGCATGCGAGTTGACACTCAAGGGCAATCACAACTACCCATTATAATTTACAATATCAATTGTTTACCTCCAGTCATCATTCTGAGGATTTAGGTCCACATTTGCAAAACTCTTGTATATATGTTCTATAAGAGAAAAAAGGTAGCTTCTTTGATTCTCGTATACTTAGTATACAAAGCATGAACATTGGGCTACAAGCTTCTAGAATAGCTATGCATAATATAAGCAGAACTGTAATTATTCCTAACAAAAAGCTTGTTTGCAGCATCAAATAAGAGGCAAGAAAAAGCAGGAGGCTTCACCTGCATTTTTGTGTTCTGTGGTTGTCAGATAGAGAAGAGATGTGTAAAAGAGAGTGTTGGCCATAAATTCTGCCATGTGTTCAGCTAATAAGGGATACTCCACTCCAGCAATCAATCCTTTCCTCAAGATTATATGTGGAGGTTCTACATACCGCATACCAATCAATGACATGGTTCTGTCAAAGTGATAAACTTCTGGGACATGTTTAGGCGACAAAGCATGCTGACGTTTAAGAGCTGTGGCTTCAAAATAAGATCTTTCCTTGGTCATTGGCCATGATTCACCAATACAACGGACATATGGTACAGCCTGCCCACATGAAACAAAATCTTGACCTGTCAAATACAGTCAAATATCTTATGAAATTCCAACGTCAAACCATTTGGGTACAATCTAGTGATCTACATATGTACTATGAAATGTTTGCAGTGTCAATTATCAATTAGTGTCATTCCTTGGCCTCGACATAAACGTGAGAATGGAGTATCCTAAACTGATAAGATGACTTGGTGTATACAACTGTTTCATGTATATATTACCATATTCACAAATTATATGACAAAAACTATTAGCCTGACTGTGGACTCGGTCCAACCTTGGAAATATTGTACATTTGGTTTTCTGTTTTCTGCAACTATTATTTTGTATGTGATTATGAACCCAAAGAAACATTAGATACAACACCATGTTTGGAACAAAGACGAAGAATATTGTTCCTTCGGGTCTTCCTCATAGACTATTTTCTGCTATAAAAAAGCTCCCACCTCGTACTAGATGTGTATTGGGGGGTGTGTGTGTGTATGTAGGGAACTAGTCTATGACAACCCTAGATGAAATTACTCTTCTCCTCCAATCCAACTACTGCTTCAACGGCCTCAAAACATTTCTTGTTGCCCTCGAGGACTGGCAACAAGCAGTTTGAAAAAACTGTTTTTGTCCTTCTAGTTGTAATTTGAGAATTATGGCTAGATGAAAGACGATCACATCTAGCTTAGTCATTACTTTTGGCAACTACAATTAAAGCTCATGAAGAACATAGAAGAATAAAACATTTCGACAATAGTAAAGTCAAGATCACGCGGTATGAACAACTACCTAAGATCCGAACCAACTACAAGGAGTATTTCCAGATACAGAAATCAAGCTAAAAGTGATCTTCATGATCGGATGACTATAACCCCAATGACACAAACGAAGTTCTAAGTAATGACAAAATTCTCTGATTATGAACAACCCAACTCTAAACTGGGGGAGGAACCTGTTTGATAACAAGCGAACCAGATGGAGAGATAACGATGTAGACGAAATTGAGATTGCCATCCCCAACTTCTTTGATTTCCAGGTTATCAACTTGATTCCCGAGCTTCGAAGCCAACGATGGCGTGGCTTTTATATATTCCTTCAACGACTTCTCATCCAGTATGCGGAACCCCTCCTTGGTCATTTCTTTCGATTGGTCAGGTATCGACGGCAGAGACGGATGTGGTGGTGGTGGCTGAAGAGGTTCTGTTTCAAGATTCCGTCGGGGTTTTAGACTCCAATTATTTCTCAAAAGGCATGAATTACATTTAGAATGACGAATTTATAAAAAAAAAATGTAAACATAAAATTAGAGTTCATTACTTTGGTCCCTGTGGTTTGGTGATCTTTACAAAACTATCTCTAAAATTTATTTATTACGTAGTAGGACTTGTCGTTTGTATGTTTATAAGGATTTGGTCCCTGACCCTCTGTTAGTCTCGTCCGTTAAGTACAAGGGCAAAACCGTCTTTTTACTATTATCTATATGTATATATATATATATATATATATATATTCGAAGCGTACTCGCGCAATGCAGCGAGATACATCATGATTTTAATATTTCATTTTGTTCTTTATCTCAGCTGATGTTATAATATGGTTTTATGTGATTTTGAGAAAGCGATGATGTTTTTATTTTAGAATAAAATATATGTTTGAAGATATTATAAAATTTTGACAAAAATATATCGATATTAGTATCAAATTAACTATTTGAAATTTCTCATTTTTTTGTGTAATTTTTTAATTCAATTTTTTTATAATTTAATTTATGTACAATAACTTGAATAAAATATAAATTTGAAGATATCATAAAAATTTTAAAAAATATATATCAAT